GGCCACTAAATAGTGCCATAAAAACAAAGGAGTCATAATTCACCGGGTGCACGCCCACACGCCCGTCACCTAGCATGTGCGTCACCTCATCATCAATCACATAGCACGTAATTTGGGATTTCATACCCTCAACACTAAGTTTAGAAGAGTTACTTACATCGATCAAGTTAATTCCAATACCGAGCAAGCCAAGCGATGTTCCAAGAATTCCATCACGCACATAGCGACCTCTGAACTGCTCAAAACTAGCCAAAAGCAACTCAAATATATCAATTAAAGCCCAAGGAAACAATTCCAAATGATAAATATTGAATCTTACATCAAATCCCAAATCCGGCAAAAAATTACGCCTGGGCCCGTACTTCGGAATCCGACGAAACTTATAAAATTTGCTAACCCATTAAATTACGAGTCCAACCATACTAGTTTCACTCAAATCCGGCTCCAAATCGGTGTTTAAAACTCAAAAATTTATATTATGAAACTTTAGGCCAAAACCCCCAATTCTCTCTTTAAAATTCATCAACCAAAAACTAAAATCGATGATAAATTCATGGAATGTAACCAAAACCGAGTAGAGAACACTTACCCCAATTCATATGGTGAAAATTGCTCCAAGAATCGACTCAATCTAAGCTCCATAGCTCAAAAAATGTAAAAATGGCCGAAACCCTCGAAATAGAGTATTTTATAATCTGCCCAGGCCTCCTCTTCCGCGAACGCGTCAATACCATCGCGTTCGCGATGAACAAAAAAATACACCAGCACAAAAGACTCTACGCGTTTGCGGAATAGTTCCCGTGAATGCGATGTACAACAGGACCAACCCTTCACGAACGTGGATGCTATATCGCAAACGCAAAGACATATCATTCACTTCCTCAATTTCAGCTCTATGCGAATGCGATGCCCCATCGCGAACGCGGAACCCAATCAACTTACTATTCGCGAACGCGTTCCTTCCATTGCGTCTGCAAAGAACAAATTCGCAGCAGACCGAATTACACTTCACGATCACGACTGGACCATCGCGATTGCGAAGAACACTAGAAACATCAGGCAACAACATAAATCAGTCGTAACAACATGGAGGAAAATGATCCGAAACACACCCGAGCCCTTTGGGACCACGTCCAAACTTACCAACAAGTCCCATAACATAACACGGACCTACTCGAGGCCTCAAAATACACATAACAACATCGAAACGATGAATCATAACTCAATTCGAAGAAATGAACTTGAAACTTCAAACTTTCACAACTCAGGCCGAAACCTATCAAATCTCGTCCGATTGACATTAAATTTGCACACAAGTCACATTTGATATTACGGACCTGCTCCAACTTTCGTAATCGGAATTCGACCCCAATATAAAAAATTTCACTCCCGGCCAAACTTTTCAAAATTTTCACTTTCGCCATTTCAAGCCAAACTCTGCTACAGACCTCCAAATCACAATCCGGACGCGCTCCTACGTCCAAAATCATCTAACGGAGCTAATAAAACCATCAGAAAATCCAATCTGAGGTCAAATACTAAAAAGTCAAACTTGGTCAAACCTTTCCAATTTAGAGCTTCTAGCTGAGGATCATTCTTCCAAATAAATTTTGAATAACCTGAAAATCAAAACTGACGATTCACATAAGTCATAATACTTCATATGGAGCTACTCATTGCCTCAAACAACCGAGCAAAGTGCAAATGCTCAAAACGACCGGTCGGATCGTTACATGCCGGAACCCTGTATCACAAGTCCAACTACAAACAACACCATTACTACTTTTCTTGATTACTACTCCCTCCGGTCCACAATAAGTGACCAATTTACTTTTTTATTTTAGTCCAAAATAAGTGTCAATTTATATAATCAAGAAAAAATTCAATTTATTTTTATAAAAACCCTTATGTACATATCCCTAAAAAGTTTTCTTACTCCTCACATTAAATATTTAATTAAGGGTAGTTTAGTCATACTAGATATTTTTGTATAAAATTTAATATTTTCTTAATGGGCGTGCCAAAAGTAAATTGGTCACTCATTGTGGACCGGATGGAGTACTAGTTCTAAGCATGGTAGAAATTCATAACGACATACCATACAAATTAACAAAAGTAGTTTGAGGATTGTGAGATCCAACATATTGGGTCTAGGTCAACTTTAAACAGCTCATTAATTATTTAAATGTCTAGGGTTTACTACTTGAATAATTAGACCCTTACAACATCATGTTTGGCCAAAAGTATTTTTTCCCCCAAAGTTAAAGTGTTTGATTAAGCTTTTAGAAGGAAAAAAGTATTTTTGAGTAGAAGCATAAATAGTTTTTGAGAAATAGAAAAAAATATCTTCTCCCCAAGAGCACTTTTGAGAAAAATAAAAGCTAAGCCAAACACTAATTGTTGCTCAAAAGTACTTTTTAAATTGATTAATCAAACACAAAATATTTCTAATAAAAAATAATACTTTTTAGCACATTTCAAAATAAGCGGATTTTAGAAGCACGATCATACTATTAACCCATAGCAATTCTATGCTGACCAAATTTTCAGCATACAACGCATACCTAATTTTCAGTCTTGACCTTTTGAGGTTTTCAGTATTGTTCATTAAGTCACTAGTAAATTTAATTGCCTCAAAATTGACTATCTTTTAGATTGGACAGAGATCATGCTAGCTAGTACGTAGAAGTTAAAACCACACGAAAAACCCAACTCCTACAACAAGAAAAGGGATTTGCTATTAATTTAATATGCATTTCAGGTTTCGTCGTGTAATTAAATATGTTCACAATACTTTCTTGGGCAAGGATGTCTACCGAGTAATCTAAAATGTATATAATAAGAGTAGTAATTATATACTTCATCTCAAGTGCCACGTCCTATCTTGTACCTTCCTCTCCAAATTGCTGCACCATATCCTTTTGGAATTATTGTACACGTGTTTGCTTATGCTAAAACAGGTCCTATATATATTTCAATTTCTCTTCAGCTAAATGTATTGCAAGAATTAGTTACGTTGGGGAAAAATGGAGATCACAAGTACATCATTACCTGTATTTTGTTTGTTATAAGTTGTAACATTTGCAAGCATGTTATATGAGTACACATTGAAAGAACATAGGCATGTGTACAAAGATAAACATTAATTAATATTAAAAGTAGGCAAATGCTATTTTTCTATCTAAAACTCATGTTTCCAGTTTCCTTCTCGTCATGAAAACTTTGTCGCTTGTAGTCAGTGAAAAGAAAAAACAGTGCATCTTTTTTATTATTCTGTTGTTTCCAATATTTATTATTGAATTTTCAGCTAAAGTCATTTTCCACATTAATTTCTGGAACCATCTGAGTGGAAAAACAGTGCATTTATTTCCTATCTTGAGATTTTGTTTGCTTAGAGTGTGAAAAAAAAGGAAAAAAATGACAAGAGAGATCAAATATTTTTAGTAAACATCAACAAGAAGTCCACGTCTTCTAGAAAAAAAAATGCTGAATTTTTTTAAGCAACTTGTGTGTGCATCTTAGATGGCAAAATCAAAAGGCAATGAAAGTTTGATGAAATATTAATTAAAAAGAGGGACTTTAATAGTTTCTGACTTGAATAATGGGGAATAATTGATTAGGGTTGGCGATCAGTACCTAGCGCATTCAAGTTTTACAACAGAAATGCAAGTGAAAATGGAGCCAATTTGTACCCCACAATATTATTAATTGAGCCAAAGGCAGCTTCTACTGCTCAAGCCATGCATCATAATTATTTCGCCAAGTCAAGGGTAAAGAGTTGGTGGACTTGTTCATAACTTAATTTTGGGTTTGTACGAAAGTTGTTGGTCATAATAATAATAATGGAAAAATAGCTTTTTGTGAAACTTTACTGGTGGTTCAACTTGGTAAGCTTTTTATTCAGTTAACTTCAATCCGAAATCCATATTATCATTTTGGTATTGAGAAGTGTTTTAATTAAGTAGAAATATTTCTTTGTAGCGAATTAGTCATAACCAGCTTGTCCAATTAATATTCAAACACTATTAATTGTGCGACCATAGAGACAATGAGGACTAGGACAAGTCGCAACTTAACAACATGATCATTAAATGAAACCATTGAGTCATTCGATTCTAAGACATAAGTTTTTTCTTCTCTTTTATTCTTTTTTACTCATCGGTTCAAAGTGCTGAATATTATTATAGCCTAAAGAATAGAAAAAAAATTGACATCGCCCATGAAATAAATCATTGTACTTAGTATCCAATCAATTGGAAGGGAATTTATAGATTCCTTTTTGAGGAGTGATTATTCATCCTTTCCAAATGCAGCATAGTGCATACGTTGTAGAGTCCGTTCCATTTTGCACCCCCAAAAGTGTGAAGATTTGAGACTAAACTGAAACTGCGATTAGAGGCGAAGAGCATAGAAGAGAGCTTTCGAGAGAGAAGGAATATTTTGTATAAAATATGTTAAAAAAAAAACTTTACATCTCAAAGGAATATTTTGTATAAAATATGTTAAAAAAAAAACTTTACATCTCAACTGTATTTATATACAGTAAAAACTAATTCTAACTAATTCTGTCATGTTGTTGTCAAACTAACTATTACTAATCAACTTAATTAGGACAAATAATAACTCTCTCTTCTTCTACATAGTGTAAGTCACGTGACTGCTATTTCCACACTCCCCCTCAAGCTGGTGGGTGCAAGGACATTTAGCACTCCCAACTTGCTAACTAGATGTTCATGTTGAGCTCTGGGCAGCCCCTTTGTTAGAATGTCTGCTTCTTGATCCCTTGTGCCTATATGATGAGTTTTTACCAGTCCTTCTTGAATCTTTTGTCTAATGAAATGACAGTCTATTACTATATGCTTTGTCCTCTCGTGGAATACAAGATTTGCTGCTATCTGTATTGCTGCTTTACTGTCACTATATATATAAACTGGCAGTGTAACTTCTGCTCCTAACTCCTTCAATAGTGTTGTAACCCACACATTCTGATATAACACTTGCTATGTTTCTGTACTCTGCCTCAACTGAGCTTTTAGATACAGTACTTTATTCTTTGACTTCCAGGAAATCAATGACTCTTCATATTTGATTAGAAAACCAAACATTGACTTCCTTGTGTTTGGGCATGATGCCCAATCTGCATCACAGAAGATACTCAACTTGTTTGATCTGGTGCTACTTAGCAGGATCCCTAAACCTGATTCCCTCTTGATATACTTCACAACTCTCACTGCAGCTTCCCAATGAGATTTTTTGGTTATTGTAGGAACTGGCTGAGATTCTGTACTGAGAATGTAATATCTGGCCTAGTTAGTGTAAGGTATAATAGCTTTCCTACTAACCTTTGATATTGTCCTTTATCTTCTAAGAGCCCATCCTTTTTGCCAATTATCTTATCATATTTTGGAACTGTTAGTTTAACATTTGCCTCAAGTGGTGTCCATACTGGCTTCGCACTTCCTAGGCCTAATTCTGAGATTATCTCCAAAGCATACTTTCTTTGATTAGCTATAATCCCCTTCTTTGACCTGCTGAACTCCATTCCCAAGAAATTTTTTAAATCACCAAATCTTTGATCTTAAATGCTTTGTATAATGAATTTTTGGTTTCCTCAATCAACCTCAAGTTATTTTCTTTCATCAACATATCATCTACATATACTAGTAGAATCACAATGTCCCCATCCTGTTGTTTGATGAATAAGGAATAATCTAGACTGCTTTGGGAAAAACCATACTGTAAGAGTTCTTCTGTCAACTTTAGATTCCATTGTCGGCTAGCTTGTTTCAACCCTTAAAGGAATTTGATAAGTCTGCAAACCATAGGATTCTCTCCCTGACTTGAAAATCCCAGAGAGAGTTCCATGTACATTTCATCATGAAGGTCCCCTTGGAGGAAAGTATTGTATACATCTAGCTGATGCATGTGCCAGTTATGCCTTACTGCTAGAGAAAGCACAGTTCTGACAGTTGCTATTTTAACTACTGGAGAAAAGGTTTTTTTGATAGTCAAGGCCTTCTTTCTGATTGTAGCATTTGGCTACCAACCTTGCCTTGAACCTCTCAACCTCCCCATTGGATTTCAACTTCATCTTGTATACCCATCTACAACCAATTGCAGACTTCCCATGTGGTAACTTGACTAATTCCCAGGTCTTGATGTCCTGTAGTGCTTGGATTTTAGCTTTCATAGCTTCTACCCATCTGGGATCCTTGCATGCCTCTTGAAAAGAACTTGGTTTAGTAACAGAAGAGAAGGCTCCTAGGTAAGCTTGATAGGCTGCAGATAATCTTGTATATGACAGGTAGTTCTCAATAGGATATAGTGTTGCATTATTCTTGTTGTGAGGTGTAACATAATTAGATAGCCAAATAGGTTCCTTGGTCTGCCTTTGTGATTTCCTTAGAGAAATTTCTGGTGCTGCTGAAGAGCTTGGGACATCTGTGGTCTCAAGTATATCTGGTGGTGAATCTAAGGAAGTATCAACTACAGTTGCTTCAGGAATTGAAGAAGGATTATATGTCTCTACATGATCAGCATGACCTGCTAAATCTTCTTCTGATGAATAATCCATAGAACTAGAAGAATTAGGATCTTCCTCTTTGAAGGGTAATGCGAAATCAGCAAAAAGAAGAGGTGATCCCTGATCCTCATGTTGTAATGTTTTCTTCTGAATGTCTTTGAAAGGAAAAACATTTTCCTTAAATATCACATCTCGATTGACAAAGAATTTCTGTTTTGCCAAGTCATATAGAACATACCCTTTTGTGACTGCTGAATATCCCATAAAAACTGACTTGATGGCCCTGCTATTAAATTTGTCAAATCTTGGGAGTGTGCTAGCATAGCATAAGTATCTAATTATTCTTAGATGCTTGATATTATGCTTTCTTTTGAAAAACATCTCATAGGGAGATCTCCCATTTAACATTACAGATGGTAATTTGTTGATGATATATGCTGCCATCAACACATAGCGACCCCAGAACTGGATTCGTACGTGTCCTTAAAACTTGATTGCTCTGGCAACCTCAAGGAGATGTCTGTGATTCCTCTTAGCCAGCACTACTAAAAAATTTGGTTTTAGCGACAGACAAATTCTGTAGCTAAACAGAAAAGTTTATCGCTAATCTCATTTAGCGACGGATTAGCGACAGATTATCAAAAAATTTTGCTAGCTACAGGCGATTTTGCGATAGATCAGCGACGACGTTCGTAGCTAATTCCAGCTTTTTGTAGTGCAGTCCATTCTATTGAGGTATGTATGCACAAGTTCTCTGATGCACAATGCCTAATCCTTTGACTAAATCCTGCATATCTAAACTTACCAATTCACCACCACTATCAGTTCTTATAGTTCGTACTATGGCACCAAACTGAGTATGTATCATTTTGAAGAAATTTTTGAGCACAAAGAACACATCACTCTTAAATTTCAACAAGAATATCCATGTTACTCGAGAGAAGTCATCTACAACAGTCAAGAAGAATCTATTGCCATCAAAAGTTTGTGTGTTATATGGTCCCACACATCCAAATGAAGCAGTTCAAAACCCTTTTTTGATTTATTACTACTAGAAGGAAAATGTAGTCTAGTATGTTTAGCTAAGGGACAAATATCACAATTATCTATTACATTATTGCAACTTTTAACATTATATCCAAGCAATTCCTTTAGTAAGTTTTCTAAAGCATGTGCTAGTCTTCGGTGCCACAATGAGACATGTCCATCTCCTTTTTCCACAGCAAAACTTCTAACTACTGTCCTCTTCTCAATTCTAGACCAAACAGTGGCTTGTGGGACTAGTAGGTAGAGGCCCTCCTTTTCCCTACCAACCCCCCTTTTCCCTACCAACCCCCTTCACCTTTCCGTTGGAGAGGTCCTAGAATAAACAGAAGTCAGGATAAAATGCTACAAAACAATGAAGCTCTCTAGTTACCTTTGAAACAGACAGAAAGTTATTGAAAATCTGGGTTAAACCGCACATTTTTTATCTCCCATATTTTTGTGAGATTACATCTTCCAATGTGTGACACACTAGTGACATTTCCATTTTGCAAGTGTACTTTGCTTCTACAATCAGAACTCACTGTATTTACATCAGTCAATATGTTTAGATCTACTATCATATGATTGGTAGCTCCTGTATCAATGATCCAATTTCCTTCTTCTATGCAAGCTAGAAAGAAATGTACCATACCTTCTACATATGCCATGCTATCCTGTGTCTTTGGTGATCCTTGATTGAGCAGATTCATGATTTGATTGTATTGTCCTACAGTAAAATTTTGTGCAATAGGAACATGCCAGCTCTTGCTTTCTCTTGTGTCTCATTCCTTCTTATATCATTTCCTCCCATATTTGGCTTCATATTTTCAACCTGAACATTATAAGCTGTGTTCATAGGCTCTTTCCTTCTTCCTTTAAAGTCTTATGTGATAAGTTTTCAATATCTTTTCCTTGTGTTTTAATGATCTAATAAACTTAATGTCAAGAATCAGATAGGGAACCTTACTCACTTGGATTACACTGCATCTAACGGATTCCAGCCAAATATGAACTTGCTACAGCTTCAGGAGGTAGGAACCCAGACAAGGACCTAATACTCTTGTGTGTTCCTCACGGTAGTACAAAGTCAATTGGCCATAGCTGGAAACGAAGATTCTATCGCACTGCACTGTTTCCAGCGCCCACTCATTCTTTGATCAACTATAGTACAATGATTCAAGTTACTCAACTCAAGACAATCTGGGCAGTATGCACAAGTACCAGATCAGGAACCTGATTCCTTGGTGCTCCCCTGAAAAAAGTACAAGTCAACTATACAGCTGGATCGCAACTGCAGAAAGTGACTGCCCGCAACTGTACAAAGAGGAACACAACAGGGACCTGATCCCTTAGGGTTCTCTGACAGAAGTACAAGTCAACTATACAGTTGGAACACAACATAGTGACTATCCACAACTGTATAAAGAGGAACACAACAGGGACCTGGTCCCTTAGGGTTCTCTAACAGAAGTACAATGTCAACTACAACTGGAAATCAACTGTAGAAAGTGACTGCCTACAACAATACAGTAGACAGAGCAACAGACAGTGCAACAATCACTTTCCATTGAGATTGGACATCACCATTATGAATTGACATCACTAAGGTAATGTCTTGTGTAGTATAAACCTCATGCAAGACACAAGATTCTGGTTCAACACTTGCAAATACAAAAAAAAAAAAAATTCTCTCAAGTGCTCAAGAACCTCTCTCAAGAATAAAGCTGTTTCAACCTCAAGGACCTGATCCAAGATCGAAGACATCTTAAGTCCTTAGGTTGTTGAGTTTTTGTTATGTGTTCTTCATTGTAATTCCTAGTTAGCTTTCTTAAAAGTGTCTTAGGAACAAACCAAAATTCGTAAACTTCTGAGTTTATGTTGTGACTAGGGATAGTCATAAGCAAAAGCCTTTGTAATCGTAGTGTGACAAAGTGACTTGTGGTGGAAACATCACAAGTTAGTCAAAGCCTTTGTAACAGTAGTGTGACAAAGTGGCTTGTGGTGGAAATACCACAGGTTAGTCAAATTCTTTGTAACTAGGATAGTTATAGAGTGGATTGTGATGAGAGCATCACAAGTTAGTTGAAATCTTTGCAATAGAGTTATTGTAAAGTGGCTTGTAATGGGGAGATTGCAAGTTAGTGAAGTTAAAAGCCTACAGGTGTAGGTCATAGTTTTTTGATCCCCTTGTGTGGGATTTTTCCACATAAAAATCCTCGTCCTTATTTACATACAACTTTACTAGCATTCACAATAGAACCCCACAAAGGACCAGGTACTCTGCTATTTGGTGGACTCACACAAACTTAGCACTGTACCAAACTGATAAAGGACCAGATCCTTATACAGTTTGGTTCATCAGTATTTTCAGAGGAAATACATAGAGAAACCGGTTCTCTATACAGTCTGGTGGACGCACAGTCTCTAACTAGTGGTATCAAGCTAACACCTAGGAAAGATCCTCATGGCTGCTCCACCAACTTTTGAAAGGAGAGAACCAAAGAAGGAAAAGTACCTGGTACTTAAAGCTGCTAACAATGATTCGAGTAAGGAAGATACTTACATGGGTTACTTAACCAATAAGTTTCAGAAGATGATCAAAAGAAATGGACAAGTGCTAAAAAAGGGACAGCTCTAACAGATCAAAGAACAATGATCTTTGTTACAAGTGCAGAAAGGCTGGACACTTCATGAAAAATTATCCTCTCTTGAAGCAAGAATTCTCCAAGAACTTCAAGAGAAAAAGATCAGTTGAATATGACTCAACTTTTGCTTTAATGGCTCGATCAGATGATGATGAAAACGATCACAACAAAGAGGTAAATTTCAGGGATGTTCAGAGAAATCTGAAATCCTATTCTCCAAGAAAACTCATGTCTTTAGCTAATGTATTAATCAATGCATTTCATAGTCTTGTAGAGGATAGGGATTCTTTGACCTTAGAATTAGCAGAATCTGAACAAACTAGAGACGACTTAGTGGCTGTAGTTACT